TGTGTGTGTGTGTGTATGTCTGTGCCTGTGTCTGTATCTATGTTTGTGTCTGTGTATGTGTATGTAACTGGGTATGTATATATATCTAAATCTACTATATATATGCATGTCTGTGCTGTGTCTGTGTCTGTGTCTGTGTCTGTGTCTGTACCTGTGTCTGTGTCTGTTTGTTTATATATATATATATCTATATCTATATCTATATCTATTTTTATATATAAATATGAGGAACCAAAATACACACTATAGACGTACGCATGCGCTTCTATGGTCATTGCATTTATAGGCTCGTATCTCATGTGTATGCATATACTTTGATTCGATGATTTAATAGCGAGAGATGGCGCAGTTAGCGGAACGGCGATTGGTGTATGAGCAACAGTACCACCACGATTTGGAGCTCTACCAATCAGAACGACGGACAAAAATAGAATCAGCCAACCAAATACGGCCCGTCACCAGTCCACCAAACAGGTAGGGGTGTGTGTGCTTGTTATTAAGAACATGCACAGGCAGAGATACAACTCTTACCCGCCCGCACGTATATATATATATATATATATATATATATATTTATGTCTGTACTATTACATGTGTCTGTATTATTGCATGTGTCTGTACTGTTACATGTGTCTGTATAATAGCATACACATCTAGTCGTATACACATATATATGTATACATGTGTCTGTACTAGCTAACAATGCCCCACAGCACACACCATTGACCAGCGGTGCATACTACAATGCACTGTCCTAAAAGGATGTGGACTAATAACCAATCTACTATTTAATCCCATTTGGTAGACTAATAACAAATAAACTATTGGATACGTGGTAGTCGAGCATAGGCTCAGCATAGCGCAGAGCATAGTGAACCGATGTTCAACCAGTGCATATGCGTTTAAAGTCTTCGCATGCATCTTTGTTTTGTGGCCTAATACCGAATTCAATACCATGTCCGCTAGCAGTCAAGCACAGGCTGAACATAGAACCGTGCATTGAGATCCGAGTTTGAAAAAACTTACATGCGTTTAAGGTTTTCTGAAGCATCCCAAGTTGTGGATTAATAACAAATATAAAATGGTATCCGTTAACAGCCAACCGCAGGCTATAAATAGCACAGAGCACAGTGACCCGAGGCATCAAGCCACTTCACTCACACCCACGAATGACCGAGCGATCTCATTGGACGATGCGAACACTCGCAGGCATGCAAAGCCCACCGAAGATCTGAGGGACGTTTTTATCGATGATCTGATTGGTGGAGAGGATGAGCTGGAGGACTTTTACGCGGTATGTTTTCTATGGAGTGTCTGTCGATCTCCAATAAAGGAGTATGGAATGTTTGGAGTCGAGTGATCCTATTGAACTATGAGAACTCGGATAGGTGCATTTGAACGGCCACGAATAACTGAGCAACGTTAAACTTCACGAGTGATTGTAGATATAGAGAATGGGGATGATATATATATAGTATTTTTGCATATACATAAGTATATATCTATATCTATATCTAAATGTGTATATGTATGTGTGTGTAGTGTTGTGTAATTATTATTATATATATATATATATTGTGTGTGTGTGTGTGTGTGTGTGCTTGTGTGTGTATATGTATATGGATATGTATATATATATGTCTGTGTCTGTGTCTGTGTCTGTGCGTGTGTGTGTATATGTATATGGATATGTATATATATATCTATCTATTTATGTATATATATATGTGTGTGTGCGTGTGTGTGTGCGTGTGCGTGTGTGCGTGTCTGTGTCTGTGTCTGTTTTTTTCTGTGTCTGTGTCTGTGTCTGTGCGTGTGAGTATAGATCCTGATACTCTGTGACGGATCGGTCCCTATGTATTGAGGATAAAATAGGTCCTATGCAGCAGCAGCAACGTGTACATGACTTAGTGGTCTGCGCACGGTCTGACGAACAATACACAATACGCCCCACTGACGTATGTATGTGTGTATGCATGTATGTATGTATGCATGTATATATGCAGGTATGTATGTATGTATGTATGTATGCATGTATGTATGTATGCATGTATATATGCAGGTATGTATGTATGTATGTATGTATGTATGTATGTATGCATGTATGTATGTATGCTATGTATGTATGTATGTATGTATGTAACGGGCCTATTACTTCTGTCTCATCTCGGCCATGCATATGCTCCCCTGCATGTCCACACAGCACCTCCCATCGTTTTGACACACGTGCGCATAGTCCACACATAGGTTGATGTGTATTGCTGTACAGAGTGAACAGGGATACATCCACTCGCGTACTAACGCACACTCGCGAACATTCGCCCTCGTCCTCCCTTGTACCTCAACAGGACTGAAAGCCGAATAGACGTGTGCGTTTAGTTGGTATTTTTAGTTTGATTGCCGGTCCACTTGCTTGAGACTCGTGGTAGATTGCATCTCCTGTATGAGAGGTGGATGGGAGCCGCAGCGTGACAGCTACACACCACCCTTTTCAACCAAGGGTTCTTCTATTGGCGGATAGATAAAATTAGTTTATCGTGATCTGTCCGGCTTTCGTACCGAGTGACTGTGTTGCGTTATTAGCATCCTGAATCGCAAATCTCGCCCGTACGCTCCATGGGGAGTACTCGCACGGTACTACCGGGGCCCCCAACGGTACCCTGTCGCTATGGCCCGATGAAGATCAGCTCTGCCTGGGCAGTACTCTGTGTGTATGAGAGGTGTACGCGTTAAATCGACAATTAACTTTAGACTCGACTGAGGCCTGCCTGTTTACGGTGGTGCATGTGTCCGGCACTCTGATGTGATGGTATTTAGCCTATTCGGCATGCATCTGTAAGGGTTTTGGGTATTGCATCGTATAAACGGACATAAATATTGGAACTGTGTATAATAACAATTTTCAAACAGGACGCAACCGGACATATAATATTGAAACGATATATAATAACGGTGGGGTAAATCTCGTAAACGGGAAATATAAAATTTGGAACTATATATATTAACAGTGGGGTGAATTTTATATACGGGAATAAATTTTGGGACTGCATTTAATAACAATACGCATAACATACGCTACAGGCCAACTTTGGTGACTCGGTGTGTTGCCGTTTATCCACCATTTCGTGTTATCAATTACGTTTAAAGTCGACGAGTAACAAACACAAGATTCAACAACCCCAATTTTTTAACCATATTTGCTTGGATCGCGAAGCTCACTCATTTATGTTGACCGTGAATATGGGGCACATATGCCCGTCCCTTGTCTTGTTCATGTTTATCTGTATTTTAATTCCTTCTGTAGGTATGAACGTTCATATTTGATAATTGAACGTTTATATTTGATAATTTACTAAGTTGTTCACCACTGTATGGTGTAGTGGCCTCCATGGCGTATACTGCATCGTGAACCTGCAAAGGGTTCAATCTCGATGACTTTCTAATAGTACTCTTCAGTCTTTGATCAAGTGCACTGAGATGAGGCGAAGTAGCGGTTGCCATGGCTTCGGATGTATCCGATATATATATAAAATATGTATATATATATATATATATATA